CACCTTGTAGCGATTGTAGTACATGGAGGAGACGACGCCGCGCAGCTGATGCAAATGACGCAAATAGTAACGATCCTTGGACTCGTACGCATAGATGCTGCTCTCGATTGCCTCCTCCTGCAGCTTCAGAAAGAGTCGGCAGCCGATGTTGTGCTGCAGCAAAAAGTCGTTGGGTATTTGCGCCTTGCCAAACAGTGGCATGACCATGGCATCGTTGGGCTGCGCGAGCTTAGCTCGCATGGCCTCCAACAGACGCGGCAGACCAGCTGCATCCTTCTGATAGTTCAGGCAAATCACATAGACCTCCGAATTGCCGCGCTTCGATGTGGCCGGCTTGTAAATGTGCACCCGTTGGAATACACAGTTCAGCATATACATGACCGACACGCTGCACGCCTCGAACAGCGTAAACATTTTGATCACAAAATTGCCACACGCGCTGAGTATGCTGAGTGCACTTAGGATCTCGGCGAACAATAGACGTGCAACGATCTCCTCCTGGCAATCGGGCTGCGCCGAGCAATCGATTGAGCCATCTGCCGTGATTAATTGCACGCCCGCGGGAAAATCGTTGGCGCAACGCTCCGTCATATGCTCGATGTTGGCCACATCAAGCAGATTGCCCGTGAAGTCCTTGTGGAAGAGCCAATTGTCCAGCGTGTGGAATATGAAGCGGTCGTCGGTTATCATCTCATTCAGTGCATTGCCCTCATAGTAGGGATTCAGGGTAGTGGAACGCCAGCACCATTTGATCTGCAAGGAACCATATAACACCACTCTTCAAATACTATCTGCGCTCTAGATACCTCATCCTGTTTGTAAACCGAGTGCAGATAATGGTTCAGAGCGGCAACAAAGGCACCCGGCGCCTCGCACAGATGTAGGCTATTCAGTTCCGGCTGGGTGACCAGTGGAAATCGATGCAGGCACTCGAAGATCTTGCACCAAGCCACCTGCAGAGCAAATAATTAGTCAATGAATATTCTATTTAAGTCCAAGACTCACGGTCACAAATTCAGCTTTTGTTTCGTTTTTGAGTCGCCAGGAGATCTCGCCCGACGGATCGCGGCGATTTGTGTGTGTGCTCCACTCCTGTACGCCATAATTGTTCAGTTTGCTCTTGATGCGATTCAACTGTTCCTTGAGCTCCTGCAGCGACTCGTACTGGTAGAATTCGCTAAAGAGCGGCTCTTGCTGTGGCAGCAACCAGGCGCTGGTCTTTGGCTTTTGGTATAGGAACTTCTTTTCAAAGAGCTGTTCCACTTCCTCTCTTATGCTCAGCTTGGGACGCATATTTGTTTAGGTTTCTTCAATTTGAGCAAGCAAAGCTAATTCAAAATCTCTTTTGCATTTATTTTTCGCATAAACAGCGGTCTTAACAGCGCGAATAGCATTAACATTTCAAGAGCTGTTATTAACAGCGCGTAAGAATAACAAGTTATTTGTGGATTAATATCATTAAGCAAATTAAGATATTTGCAATGTTGTAAGCTTAAATAGGGGAAGTTTATATTATTTGGACTGGGCATTTTGGAACAAAAACTTTTGACAGGATGTTTCAATTTGAATTTAACAGTTGTCTAACAGCTATAAGACTATCGAAAGCTATCGGCACTATCGCAACAGAAAGCGCATCTGAAACAGTGTTGTAAACTGGCTGTATTTTACCGAGCTGCCAATGCGCAGATTATGGCTAACGTTTCCAATTCAAAACTCTGATAGCGTGATTCTGTCTTTGCTTTAGCTGTATAATAGGTAAAGGTGTTTGATTGTAATTATAAATATTTGAGTTATTAATGGACTTACATTACTAATAGAGTTCTTGGTGAGTAAAGACACACAAGTTAGATAGCAGCTTCATACTATATTGCTTGAATTATCGTTTCGCTTTATATCGATATATTAAGTAAAGTTAAAAGAGATACCGATGCATAGTTATCGATAGCTTATTTCACCCGCGAATTTGTTCGCACTTAAATTCAAATTATTTTAAAACTTGCAATTTTTATGCACTCTCGCTAGGCTGTAAATGTAAGGGTTCCAACTCATAAGGCTTTGTCGAAATGTTTTTTGGTCTTTTAAGGTACGAAACAAACTATGAATGATTTATCCTGGAAGTTAGACTTTAACTTACTTTGTAATATAATTAGTATAAGCTTATTGGGAATTTCTTTCTATTTGCTTGTCAAGAAAGCGTTTCGTTGTATTCTCTTTAAATTAATATCGAAATCTTTCAATTTCTATAACCTGTTTTATATATTTAGTTAATATTTTTGGATATTTCGAGGGGTTTCTGGATATTTCGAGTTTATAACTTTTATCGAAATTGCTTTCCCAATTCATTTCCGGCTCAGTTAATGGGAATTTCTTGAGTTTGTGTCCAAAATATTAAATTGATAATTAAAGTAAATTTCCTTGACTCAGTTAGGCTAACCATAAAAAATAATGGAAATAAGTTGGGGGTTAAAAAAAAAAGAGATATTATGAAACAATCATACGTAAAAGTATTTATGGACAAATCGTTGCATCGGCCTGTGCATATAAATCTGTGCATTAAGTCACAATGGAAGTCAGCAACGGAAATAGAAAATATTGGACACAAAAACAAAAAAAAAAAAGATAGAAAAATAACGGTACTTTGTTAAGGCTAAGCCCGAAACCGAAAAGAAAAGATTTTTGCTTTGGAAGCCAACCAAAAACGAGCAATACGAAAAACCTCTTTGAATCATGGCGATGATGTCTCAAACATTGGAATTCAAATTGTTTTTTTATTTTTTTCATATACTTTTTATATTTAACTTTTGGCTATATGGTCACTAAATCGGCGCGTGAGCTGCCGACTTTATAGCGAAACGTGCGTTGTGTGTATATGAATAATAATATTTAAATTGAAGAGCTGCATTTATTAAAAGAAACTCTCTCGGCTCTTAGGTCCGACAAAATAACAAGTATAGGATTCTATAGTATATAGGAATGCGTATATAATGCAGACGAGACGCTCTTTTATGCATGTGTATGTGTGTGCATATGTGTGTAAGTCGGGGCACGACACGTGACTGTTTTATATAATTGGACATAAATACATATATGTAATGTGCTGCGATGGCTCCAACGATTCCAACTTCGAGAAGAAGCGATTGTCGCCGTGAGACATTCTCCTGGCTATTGGAGCGGAGCTCTATTGAAACGCAGGTGTCTGCGGCTTCTGCGGAAGTAACGCCTTCTGGCTAATGTCCAGGCGTGGCCTTAGGCCCTCTTTGGCAAATGCATTCAATTGGCTTTTGGCTCCGTGGCGGCAAATTCCAATAAGACGGCGACTCGCTGACGCTGAGTCGAATCGGACGTGTACGTGGACACGGCTTTTGTTGGCAACTAAATTTTATTTTAATTTCATATTTCTTTTCTCAAAAGGGAGTTCATTAATATGCCGGGCAGGCGCCATTGCGCTAAAGGCAAAAAAAAAACAAAAAAAAAACGCTCAGCGTCAGCGTCAGCTACCTGCCACTGGCAGTCTGTACTGTAAACACACACACACACACACGCGCACACGAACGTACGGGTATTTATGCTAGTGTGAGTGCACCCCCACTTTGCATAGGCATGCGACTCTGTGCGTGTGCGTGTGTGTGTGTGTGCTGGCAACGGGTATCAATCCCCGTTTTAGACAACATTTGATTGTATTTGTTGCTTTAACTCTTTGAGCTGCACATCGCCGCACGCACACACACACACGCACACGCACGTAAATTGAAACTTCTTCAATTGTCGCTTTTGGGCTTCTAAACGTCGCCGTTGTCGCCGCTATTTGCTCACGTTTAGTCCGGCCGAGGTGTGGTGCTAAGCTCGACTCAGGGCTTTAAAATCAGTTGCCAATTAGTCTTCATCGTTGACGGATTACAATTGCCTCTGCCTCTGCCTCAGCACAAAATAAAAAAAAGAAATAGAAAAACTTGTTAAGTGCCTGTCGAAAAAAAAAGAGAAATAAGAAAACAAGAAATTCATTGATAAAAATAAGTTTCGTTCATGCGAAATTACAATAACAAAATTTGCTAGCAACATTTTTGTCGCGTTGTTTATCCCGTCGCCTCGCATCTGTTGTTCAATTGGCAAGATGTCGGCATAGCTGACGTTTGAAAGCGCATTTTTATAGCGCTATGCTGCATCTAGTCAGTTATTCAATGGAACAATCAACAAAACAATGTTTCAATACTTTACTTTTTTGGAGATTTCGTTACTCGGAACATCTCATCAAGAGGATCGTTTGATATTGCTCGTTTTTATTGTATTTAACTTTTCGTTAATTTTCATAATTAAGCTTTTATTGCAGCAAGGAAAGGAGGCGTATGGTAGACAGGATTATGGACCCATAGAAGGATAATCGAAAAACAATCAAGGATAACTTTGAATAAAAACCTTTTGACGCTGGAATTGTTTGCCTTACGAAATTGCTATTAAAACAAAACTTTTTTAAGGATTGCTACTTTTGCATGTCTTGAGGCTTAAAGTCCTTGAAGAGAAACCGTTATCTTCATCTCTTTTCGGAATTGAACTTAATTTTTATAACTTTAACAGGCTAAGTAAGAGAGTGCTCAGCCTCTCTTGTTTATCAACTATAATATTTGGTGTATCTATTATTATAAATTAATGCAAAATAAATGTAAATACAATAACTAAATACAAATATAAATAGAGTTATTTGATTGCTACTTAAGTAAAACGAGGGCCGTGTGAAATGAATGTCAGACATTTGTTGCATAATAAAACTAGTTTCATTTTGACATTTACAGCAAAACATAGCTTGTCTTAGCTGCATAATAAGTAAAACACAATTGTTAAACGCAAACACTTTAGATGTAAACAGAAGAAGAAAAGTCCACAACCCAACAGACGCTAAGCTTATAAGCACACATAAAAACAGATTGGCAGCGCCATTTTTAAACTTGCGCCCTTTTGGCAGCGGCATTTTGCAACACTGCTTTGCAATCGATACAGTGGTGATTTCTCGATAAGCATTCATCGCTGAAAAAAAAGTAAACAATTAGGTGAAGCAGATTAAGTAAAGCTGGATAATCTACATAAAGCATATATTTTAAGTGATGGACAGCCAGGTAAGTGTGTGTAATGCCACCAATGATATCTTTAGCAACAGCACCCATAACTGTCAAAGTGTTGTCGTCAATGAATACTTCACACAAATTAGTTGCGCCACAACGTTATCTGAAAGTGGCTTTGTGATAAATCTGCCTAAATACACACATAGTATGTACACATTAACAATAGACATTAAGGGCAGCGGGTCCCGCCAATGACGTAATTAACACGGCTGAGTGAACATTAGCTACAGTTATCAGGGCAATCGTAGTCAGTTTTTGGCGGATTCTTAGAGGGGCGTTTGCTGTACTTTCACAGGCACCAATTGATGATCTATTATTGGACATTGTGGACAATGCTTGGCGCATGGAAGTGCTGCCGTTCGATCAAATATTAGTACCAATCGAAAAGCTGCCCGATCCCGAAGCCGACGGTGGTGATTCACACCTCACCCTAAGCGAGCAGGTGAGCAATGCGCAATGATAACGTGATAACCGGTCTAAAATTTCATTTGCAGGAACAAAAGTGGACTGACTTGGCGCTCGGCTCTCTGGCACCGGACGCCGCCTTAATCGATCAACTCAATATAACAGCTATCTAACCAAGGACGAGCAGCCTACGTGGTAGCACTTCCCCAACGCTTCTTATACCACAAGTACTATTAATTACACCCCAGCATGAGTAGCAGCAGCAGCAGCAGCTGCAGCAACAGCAACAACAACAATAACAATGCCATACATCAACACCTGCATTCACCCAGTAAACTAACCGAATTCGCGCGCAATTTTGAGGATAAGCCAGAGTCGCTATTCGGACGTGTCGTCACAAAAATACAAAATGTCTATAATCAAAGCTACAACACGGTCAACGATATATCCAGCGGCGGCAGCGGCAGCAGCAGCGTCCAGGTGGGCAAGTCCAAATTCTATGGGGCAGGCAGCGCCGACATGGACGGCGACGCAAGCACACGCAACAGCTCAACATCCAGCTTGAACACAATTCGACCGCAGCCCCCAACAACGCTTAAGCTGCGCAAGAGTAGCGAAACGGCCAGCGGCGGCAGCAGCAGCACAACAACCGTGGACGAAACATGCGAGGCCAACGAGCGTGTCGATGAGCTGCCAGGTGAAGCGAATCAGGGCCGCACCGTGTCCAATGTGCTTAAGCACATCAGCAGCATTGTTGCCTCAAAGAATAATAATGTAAGTGTGATGGCAGTCGATCTGTTGCAGCTTGTTTGCTGACGTTTCTTTGCAGGATTTACGCAACTATAAAGAGACGGAGCTGCAGCGCCTGTGGATGCCCGATTCGAAGGCCAAGGAGTGCTATGATTGTGCACAAAAGTTCTCCACATTTCGTCGCAAGCATCACTGTCGTCTCTGCGGTCAAATATTCTGCTCCAAGTGCTGCAATCAAGTTGTGCCCGGCAGCATAATACGCTGTGAGGGCGATTTGAAGGTGTGCAATTACTGTTCCAAGATTGTGCTCACCTCACTCAAATCCTCCAGCTCGAACATCGGCGGAGATTTGCAGGCACTACAGCAGCATCTGAGCAGCAAGCTCGAGGTGCAGGACAGTGCACCCAGCACACTCTCCGCCCAGAAGCAACGCGTTCAGGTGTCCCGCAAGACATCGCTGGGCTATCAGGAGGAGCGTTTCAGTTCGCAACCGAACTACACGGTGCTCTCCATGAATGATCGCAAGTATATACTGCAACAGTCGAATTCGCTGATAACCCTGCACGAGGAAATGCAGCGCGAGCTGCCAGTTCAAAACTGCGGCCAGCTGCTCATCGAGTTTCTCAATACGAACAACAAGTCGGCCAATGAGGTGCAGGCGGTGGCCATACTGAATGCCATGTTGGCGGCCGGCTTCCTCGAGCCGATCGTGCCCGATGCCGAGCAGACGGAATTCGATGCAACGCTGCACTACAGATTTGCGGAGCTGTCGCGCACGGGTACGGCCAGGGCGGAGGCGCCAGACAAGAGCATTGATCCAATTAGTCCACAGTTTGATACCAGCGCAGAGCCGCAGCCGCCCAAGTCTATGGATTTGTCCCTAAGCTTTCAGTCTGCCAAGGAGCTGGAACTGGAAAACGATATGAGCTTTACGACCATTTCGACCAAGCTGCTGGAGTCCTACTGTGATCACGAGGAGCAGCTGCTGGCTCAGCTGTTGCGCGCCCATCAACTGGACGCCGAGTGGGGCAAGGTGCTGCAGACGCTCTGCTCGACGGCAGCGAATCATTTCAAGCCCGAGTACTGCACCAACGATCTCATGGACATACGCAACTATGTCAACTTTAAGAAGGTGCCGGGCGGCAGGCGCAAAGACTCGAAAATCGTGCACGGCGTGGCATTCTCCAAGAATGTCGCTCACAAGGATATGGCCACGCATGTCGAATTTCCGCACATCCTGCTGCTGCAGTGCCCCATTGTCTATGAACGCATCGAGGGCAAGTTTGTGACCATCGAGACGGTGCTGCTGCAGGAGAAGGAATATTTGCGCAACGTTTGCGCCCGCATCATGAACTTCGAGCCCAACGTGGTGCTGGTGCACAAGAATGTAGCCGGCATTGCCCAGGATCTGCTGCGCTCCTACGGCGTCACTCTGGTTCTTGATGTCAAGCTCTCCGTAATGGAACGCCTCGCGCGCACGCTCCAGTGCGACATTGTCAGCTCCATTGAATCGAACATAACCATGCCGAAGCTGGGCCGCTGCAATGACTTCTACATACGCAACTATTCGGGCGGCAAGACTCTGATGTTCTTCGAGAAGCTGAAGAATCCACGTGGCTACACGTGTTTGCTGCGCGGCGGCAATAATGCGGAACTGACCCGCGTCAAGAAGGTGGCCTCGGCGCTGCTCTTTGCGCGTTACAACTGGCGGCTGGAGATGTCCTTTCTGCTGGACGAGTTCGCCCAGCCGCTCAGTCCCAAGCCATCCATATTCGACTCTAAGGAGTCCAGTCCCAAGGCAGAGAATGCTGCCGAGGAGCACCTGGAGGCCGCAGAGCCGCAGCTGCGCTCATCCGCAAAGCGGCCGCTGGCCGAACGCAAATCGGAGGAGAAGTTTACGGCAGCCATCACTGAGAACGTGGCTGACTTTACGGATCCGTTGCGCTCCTCGCAGACCGATACCATGTCCAGCTCGGCGGCCAATCTCAACGTGCAGGCCTTGGCCGTGGAGAATCGCTACGATAATCGCTTTCGCAATGCGCTCAGCTCCACGTTGCTGTCGGTCAGCCCGTTTCTCACGTTTCCGCTGCCCTATCTGGAGACGGAGCAGGGTCGCAATTGCAAGCTGCGCAAACTTTTTCCCGCCGAGCTGTACTTTTCCAAGCTGTGGTCCAAGACGCCAACTGCTCTGGAGCGCCCCGAAAGTTTAGACGCGGATCCATTTAAATCCAACACGGAGCCGGGCAACAAGGAGAACGAACAGCAGCTGCTGCCGGCACACGATTTCGTCAAAATGAAGATTACATCACCTGCCAACAGCCGGGATATACAAACGCTCCTGGCCGAGTTTCGGTCATTTGGTGGCCGCTTTCCCAAAGGAAAGGCGTCAAGTAAGTGTTTAATATTTGACATGCTATTAGAATCTATTAAATCTCCTTCTAATTTAGTGCTCAAGCAGAAGAAGAAGAAGATTGGCGAGATCATACAGCGGCCGCAAAAGGTCACCGATGAGCAGCTGTACAAGGATGCACTCGATCCACAAAATCATCAGCGTTTGCCTGTACTTTTCTGCAGCTTCCACTTCAACCCGAAGGGCGTGTCCTCGTTCTGCAAGCTGCCCATGCTGCTGGACATGAAGTTCTATGGTCAGCACGACATCATGCTGGAGCAGTTCCTGCAGCGCTATTGCTGCCTCTTCAACTCGATGTGCCCGTCATGCAATCTGCCCATGCTGGGCCATGTGCGTCGCTACGTTCATTCGCTGGGCTGTGTGCATGTTTATCTCACCGAGGATTCAACGCGTTCCGATCCCAAGCGCATCTACTTCACATCCTGGTGCAGCATTTGCAATGCAACGACGCCAGCGGTGCCGCTCTCGGATGCCGCCAAACGTCTCTCACTGGCAAAGTATTTGGAGATGCGCTTCCATGGCCATGCCTATAAGCGCCGTCCGCCCACAGAAGCTGGAGGCGCAGCTGCTGAGCAGAGCAATCTTTGCGAGCACTCGCTGCATAGAGATTATGTGCATCATTTTAGCTTTCGTGGCGTTGGCGCCAAGTTCCAGTACACGCCCGTCGAGGTGTGGGAAACGGATTTGCCCTCGTTGACGTTGCAAATGGAGCTACCCAAGCCGTTCATTGGCGTGCAAGTGCAGGAGGAGATTAAGAGCTTCTCGATACGCGGTCATGAGGTGTATACGCGAATACACGAGCGCATCGCCGATTTGGCCACCGAGGAGGAGAACTCCCCGTTGGTATCCACGCTGAAGGCTAACCTCACCAAGGATCAATTCATATTCAAGCAAAAGGTGGAAATTGTGCACACCCTGCTGACGGAACGTCTGGTCAACTCCTACGATATAGCCGACGCGCTCGTCATGGCCAAGCGCGTGCTGGCCGAGAGCATTGAGCTATGGGGTCCGCGACTGCATGAAATCGAGCAACTGGCCCAGAAGCATGCCAAGCAGTCGCATCATATCGATGCCGGCACCATATGCACTGAGGAACTGCGACCCGAACAGCTAGATGCCGCCAGCCAGGAGCTGGCGAAGAGCAAAGGCAACAATCTGCAGCAGGATGGCACTTCAATAGAAGAAGACAACCCGGACACAGAAAAGAAGCTGACCGTGGACCAGATGCTCGCCTCCACAGTCAACGTCAATGCGGACAAGAAGTCCATCAAATCCCGATTGCTCACGCTGCGTCAGCCGGCGAACAACCAAGCCAATCCGCTGCAGTCGCCCTTTGCGCCACAGGATCATCTGACGCTGCCCATGGGCGCCATACCCGTGCTGGTGCGCGAAAACGATCTCAGCTCGGTAATTGCCTATGCCCTGACCTCGGTCGAGTATCAGCGCTCTATTGCAGCTCTGAATGCTGGCGAGGCAGCCGGCAGCGATGCCAACTCCAGTCCGCTGCCGAAGCACAAGCAGCTGGACACCGATGCGGAGGAGACGGCTGCCAGTGCCGAGTCCGAGGAGCGCAGCAAAGCTAAAACCCAGCCACAGCCGCCCAGCGCACATGTCCTGCTCTCGTTTGGCAACAGCACACAATTTCAGTGCCAGATTTACTTTGCGCGCGAATTCGATGCGATGCGCGCGAAATGCTTGAGTCCGCCCAAGCTGGACCGGACGCTGTATCGCCGGCTGGAGAAAAGCAAAATGCGCGAGGAGCTGAGAATCTCACAGAATCGCAACGGCTCCGAAATGGAGCTGGTGCGCAAGCCCAGCGATGTGGCCGGCAGCGCACAGCACGTTGAGCAGCCGGATGCCGAGGAGGAGTCACGCATTGCGCTCGCCCGCAGCCTCTCCAGCAGCGTGCAGTGGGAGGCGCGCGGTGGCAAATCCGGCTCACAATTCTGCAAGACGCTGGGTAAGCTACGATGCCTCCATTCCACAAATATATAAACATATCTGAGATCTAAATCATATTTGCAGACGATCGTTTCGTGCTCAAGGAAATGGGCAAAAAGGAGATGCTATTATTTGAGAACTTTGCGCCCGAGT